CGATCGAGTACTGGTCTCCAGGTAGCTATCCATGGGTGACTCCATACTAGAAGTTTCGCAGCTGTTTGGAGGTGACATGAATTCCAAAGGTCTTCTCCAGTCAGGCTGCGACTGGAGATGACTTCATATTTTGGTGTACATGAAGGTGATGGGCTAAAGCCAGCTCCTGCCTCATAGAGGAACATCATAGGTATCTTTCGCCTGGTACTCGTATCCACGTCCTCTGTCTGGGCAGCGAAAACTTTGCTGATATGTGACTCGGTCGAAGTGACTTTTTTTGGCCCCCCTGTATATGCTGAACCGTACATCAAGCAGACCAGACAACAACGCCGTGTGACAGTTACCTGTGGTTCTAGCAGCGTATGATTTGCCCTTGTACCATGCTCCCGGGTGGCGGCCCGACTACCTCTGAAGAGGGGAGGGTACCCCGAAGTTCATAAACATACCTCGCAAGCTTCTGTGATGCTCTCCAAGATGTTTTCTTTTCGGCGCCTTCCTCCTCCCTTCCCCCCCCTTCGCTGTAGAATAGAAGAAACCACTGGAATCTGCCTTATAAACAACCATACAATTAAAATGTGTTACTTTATTGAAAATGCATAACATAAAAACAAGTTACAAATGTACACGGTACCACGTGATAAAGAGGCGACTGAAATCGGAGTGTGTAAATTATGCAGAATATTAGGAGTGCTTTCGATGATCCGCGCCTACTGCTTCAGTTACGCTTTTGAACCCGTCTCTTCTCAACAGCTCCACCAACTCTCTTTTTACCTAAATATTGAAGTAAACAAATAACATCAGAAGCTTTAGATTTTTGTAGGTGTGCCAACGCGAGTCACTCAATATAGAGAGCGGAGTCAGGGTGCAACGTGGGATTGAGTGGAATGGCAATGTCAACACCACCTTCCGCTACATCCCCCCCCACCCTCCGACGAGGGCCTCGGTGTGACCTCACTAGCGCTTCAAATTCAATGTTACCGCAACCGTCTATGTTCACGTCTACTGCAAACGTCTACTACGAATTATTTTTCGGATATCCCTTCTTAGAACGACCGCAAGTTCCAATGTAAAAAGTTAGGGTCGTTCAAAGGAGACTAACAGAAGCCGTGAAATTGCGAAATGAAAAACAGCATTAGTAAGTGATGGGTTGGCTTGTAATTGCTCTAAAAAATCTTCGAACCTTCCCTAGTTCGAAAAATTATCTTTAGAGGATTTTCGACGGGCGAACCGAAAAGCACATACGAGTTTTACGAACGACTATAACTTTTTTTAGTACGCGATAATTAACGAAGGAAAAAAGGTGGCTAAAAAGTATAATTTCCCATTTTTTTTCAAAATGCCTCACATATTTCGGAGGACTAACAGTTGACACCTTAGAAAAGTTTTAATGGGTGAAGCTCTGTGCCACTCGAAAACTCAATTACCTTCCTGCCATTACATTAGTCATTACGAAACTTGAGATGCTTCAGAACGCATCTTCTCATTGAACAGAATGAAGGAATCGTTTATCATTAGATCTCTTCTGTGTGGCTCCAGAGTAACGCATGCTGAGTGGCGACTCACCACACCATAACGACCACCCCTTACAAGATTATAAGTTTAGGTTGTTAGGCGGTGTACAGTACCCCCCAAAATTGCGCGTGAAGTTAAAAATGTCGCGTCGTGAACGCACACAAGCGCGTCCAGGTAGGGGGGAGAGCTCCGGGAAGTGACGGTCATCTGGACAGCGACCCGCCCGACCCCGGCACACTCGGGGCCGGGCCACAGTACCCCACGCCCAATCCAAGTGGTCCGCACAGAACCAGGCCCGTTGTGTGCATCCACGGACAACACAATTAATCCCACGCGCAAACCCCGGGGGTACTGTACACCCCCAACAATCTGAACCCATAATCTTGTCCAGCCCTCCCCCCTGAAGCGTGTCCCCCCTGAAGTGTGTCGTGTCACAGCGCTATCGCCCTGACGGCCAAATGATGGGGCGTGGAAGCAGGTGTAGAGTGGGTCACCACGACTTCGTTCTTCAACAATCGTTGCCCAAAACCGGTTACAGATCATTGCTCGCGGCCGCCATGCATGAGGCTCCCTCAACCAGGGCACGCCATCTTTGTGATCATCACAACGGGGGGTCGTATTTGCCCGCGATGGAGGGGGGGGGTCGTAAACGCATGGCCCATGTTGAAGTGGAGAGAGCGGTGATACACGGTACAAGTGAAAAGAAGCTCAAAAGGGACGATGTAGATGACAATAAATAGAACTAGGCACTATCGAACTATTCCTAGGCCAAGAACTAAAAAATATTGCTGAAACTTTTTCCTCCTTCCTCACAAAAAAACTTCAAGACACTTCGCCCACCAACCCTCCTCATCTGGTCTAGATAAATCCCAATCCACTAATCCGCAAAATCTAGAAAAGAATCCATTGCAAAAGCTACCTATGAAACCGTAGAAATTGAATCCTGAGCAATTTCCTCACAACAAAATCAAACTCAACAAAACAAAATCAAACTCAACAAAAACAAACAATCAAAATAATTCACAATCAAATGGATAAGAAAAAAAACTCACCAGGCCAGCTGGGAACCGGAACTATGGATTACTTTTGAATTTTGGCTGTTCGCGGTCAGCGCGCTCATACAAGCTCATTGGTGCGCGCTATTTTACGGCCTGGAGCCAATTTCAAGCCACGTGAAAAGTACCCCTCATTTGAACACCCATAACTTCGTTGAAAGTGAAGCTATCGGAGAGGGGTAAGTGGGAATGAGTAGAGCTAGGTTGGCTCTTGTCACCTGAATTGAGCGATTTCAAAAACGTTCCGATTCCAGAGATTTTCCCCGTTGTGATCATCGTTGTGATCCGTCTGTGATCATTTTTGCGAACCGCGAGTCGCTACGCTTTGGACGTCCATGGCAAGCTTCATACACGGCCTTTCGTAAAAAAAAGAATTGTGCCGGAAGCTTGAAGATTTCTACTTTCCAGCAAGGCTTTAATTTTCTTCCTAGGCCTGCTATTCGAAAAAATTCCCCGTTGTGATCATTTCGTGACCCCCCGACACGAAAAATCAGCCCCTCCGAGGCCATGAAACCTCCAGTTGGCTTGAAGACTTTGGTATGCTTCTAAAACACATGTTTTCGTATCAGGAAATAGGCCATTGGGCGCCAATTGGCATCACCTCTGCAATGCGCCATGCATGGGGCTTTCACGCAGGTGTTTGGAAGGTGTAACTTCTAGATAGGGCTTCCCAATTGCAAGCAAATGTGCTCCTACGATCAGAAAAGTCCGGGAATGTACTTTCATCTGTTTATTAATCGTCACGTCGTGAGTCCTCTTGTTTGTTTATAAATTCATGGTGCCCTTGTGGTGATCGTAGCTCCTATCATCGCCCCTTCCTCGTACGTATTGTCAGTATGCTACACCAGCGCCAGAGTGCTGGACGTGCTTGGGACGTACGTAGGTACTGCGACCCCCCCCGCTCGACAGCAAAATTTTGTAAAAAAAAACCAGAAATTTTTGGGAAAAAATAGACAAAGTGGTAGGAGGTTGGAAAAATCTAGGGAAGAGGTAACGTGGGGAGGGGGGTCGTACTTGAAGATGGAATTAGGGGGGGTCGTATTTTTCAGGAAATGATCACAACGCAATGGCGTGCCCTGCTCTCAACATGATCCTCCACCTGAGCCTGACACGGTCAGTCCCTTTACACTGTCATGCAATGTACTTTTTCTAATTTAGATTATGACTGTTATTCTTGTAAGACGCCTTTCCTCACCTTCCCAATAACTGGGAAACCTTGAAAAGCGAGTGCAGAATAGAGCTGCACCACAGAAGCTCCTGCTCGAATCTTCTCGTATGCATCTTCACCGCTTGACACACCACCGCATCCTACTATAGGAATACGTCCTTGAGTAAGGCTAAATATGAAGTTTACTAGTGCTTAATTACGGTAGATCTGGTAAATTGCGTAGTGTCCGACCTGTACATCTCCTTTATGCAGTCTGTACTCAACTTGCGAATGGGTGCACCGCTCAGACCTCCGGCTTCATGTTTGAACTCGCTTTTTAGAGTTTCGGGACGAGAAATTGTTGTATTAGAGACAATCAAACCATCAACACCGTACTTCCTATCCAACACTACCTGAAGCCATGTAAGCAGTAAAAGATTAACAACCATTCCGTAGAAGTACCTGTGCAATATCCTTTTTCTCAGATAGTTCGAGATCAGGAGCTATTTTCAGAAGAACCTTTGGCCTTTTTTCCAAACGATTCGCGTCGACAATGTACTTTACATGCGCAAGCAACTGAAAACATCACTCTCTAAATGGCAAAATTCAATCGAAAAACAACTCTTGAAATACTCGAATTTCAGTCAGCAGCAGTCAGATATGGTAGTTCAGTATCAATTGTCCAGTTTCGAAAGGTCGAGTAGTCAGACGAAAGCCGATCCAGGATTTGATCCCAGAACCGCGCCTGGTAAACAGTGTAACTTGCCCTCACACTAGCACGCCCTGCCAGCATCGAAATGTCTAAAGATAAATGAATTCGGGCGCTGCTTGCCTGGAGGCAATGGGAGATGGGAGGAACTGGGCGCACTACTTCCGATCATTGATGAACAAAATGAAAGGCCACAATGATTTACTACAAAGCCAGTTCCTTTTTTATGCAAACGTTACAATGAGGACTGATTGATATCAAGACCTTTACTAGTCTTCAACAACGTGCGGTGTGATTTTATAAGTGAACCACGGGCTGCCAGCTGTACTATATTCACTAGGTCGCTACGATCCTTGGTCCCAATAGGAAATTGTTGAAGACAAATGGCACGATAAATCCCCAAGACGTGAATTAATATGCGTAGCACGAGAGGACTCGGCACCTCTGAACAGGCGATGCGCGGCGCTTTTCCCAAGGAACGTACCTTTATAGGGCCCTATCAAGCTGCACCATATCAACCCGCACGGTCACCGCGCCCGATCGTCCGACCGATGCTGATGTTCGTATTGCTTCATTTGCGAAGCACTTTATGAATCGAAGGGATTGATATGAAGGGATGCGCTGCTGCATAAATTATGAGTACATACTGCAGCCGTATCTACCGTAGCAGTTACTGGCACGAGGTCAAAGGGAAACTCGTCCGAAATCGTTTTCTGAGTCGTGAACAATGGCCATTTTTCGCAGTTTTTTTTTCACCCGTTTCACTTCGCTTTTTCGTCATTATACCACTAAGTCATCCCTGATACCATTACAGGCCTAGTATCGAATTATCCTGGCTTATGCCTTTGAGTTAAATTGAAATGAATCGCTCCTCGCAGTGCTAGTATACAAAATTGAATGTGCACTATTAGCGCATTTACGTGGCATGCGGTTGATAACGTCGCAATAAAGAGACATTTTCGAGATTTGCGGCGTCCCTCGCTGCTATGCGGCGTGTGCCGCAGGCGCGGCACCTCACGTTTCTTCTGCACGTGTCCCCTTCCAAGAGAGTGCAGGGAGCACGTTCTTGTCCACAGACAGCACGTTCTTTACCGATTTTTTCTTTCCCAAATCGACCACTACTGGTGGGGCAAGGCTGTCGGAGGCGGGCTCATTCCCAACTGCCTGACATCGCCCCGACAGACTGCGAAGTTATCAACCATATCATACCGCTTTGATCATTGACCGGAAAGTGTATACGTAGATGCCCCCCCCCACCTTCCTGAATAAACAATGACCAGATCTGAGAGTGTGAACAGATGTCCTTCCCCTCCTCAGGGCGAAAAATGCTCAAATTCGAGAGATTCCACAAAAATCCCTTTCTCTCTCAATGCCCAGGCCTCTCGCATGATTTGGTGTTCCAAAAATTGGTGTTCGAAAAAATGATATCATCCATGACCACTAGGATCTGAGCTGCCTCCCTTCGAAGTTTATACAAAACATAGCTCGGAATTGCATACATATAAGACCTCGATTGCTCCATGACTTGAAGAGCTGTTAGGGCATTTCTACGTAAGTTTCAAAAATCCATTTCATGTTCAAAAACTTACACTTTGTAAATCAGCTCGCTTTTGCATAGATCGAAGACCAGGTGTGTTCGGTGAAGAGACATTCACGACAAGGTAATCAGAAATAGGGGCGAAGTGATTGACACCAACCTCGTAATCGACCCTGTAATCTCAGCAAGGTCACATTTTTGTATTCGCCCTCTCGATAGACTAATCAAAGGCAACACATAGAACAAAGACGTTCTCTCTGGTGGCACCGTTACCAAAATCGGGAAAGTTATGTTGGCAGAAACTGCAGGTGCACAGACAGAGAAGAAGGAAGCAGAAAAAAAAGGAACGAGAAAGAAAAAGGAAGAACAGAGAACGTAGGAGTCTGGTGAGATAAAGTGGAAAAGTTATGGAAATAGTGTCCACGAAAACACTGCCACTAATAGTGTCACTGCAGCTAGGGAGGAGACGCATGGGTCGGTGCAACTAAGTCCGCCTCCCTACGCTTCCCTGCTCCTCCTCACCAAAATGGTAACCCTTTCTCCACACAAGCTCATGCTCAGAAAAATGTACAAGGCCAAAGTCTGCGCATACCAGTCTTGAAGTTTGCAGGCCAAAGTGGGCATGATAGGGCTAGAAGAAACTAATTAGCCTCGACGCCGTGTACAGTGTTTTCTGTTGCGCCTTTCAAGGTTTTTAGGTGGAATAGTTTGTCCTAACGGCCTGACGTTTCACGTACTTATCCTACCCGGAGGCCGTGTTTCGAGCTTATGATATGAGATATGAACTATCGTCAAGCCACGTCATGAAACGTGTTCCACCTAAAACCTTCGGAAGGCACGACAAAACATAATGTGTTGGGTAAATTTCCGCTAAATAAGCACGGTCCCTAAATTTCCGCCTTTGATACAACCACCTTTCAAAATTTCCCTACCTCCCACCCAATTTTCCCATAGTTTCATTGCCGAGCCAGGCAGCAGAAGGGGAAAACACTTCCCGATTGTCGGAAATTCAGGAGCAGTAGGAAGTATGTAGTGAGCCTGGAACTCGTACAATTGCGATGCGATGAATGGAAAGCGACGGTAAGGAAGACGATGGGTTTTGGGCAATCACTGGGAACACCTACATGACAATTGTTCAATAAAGGCTAAATATTTCCGATCTTCGGCATTCAAAAGAAGTACTTTTTAATCTCTCGCGCATTTTTTAAAACCTAAGGGCTAGAAATCGTTCGCGTACTTTGGATCTTCAGCGAACTTATTTTTTCCAAGATTCACTCCTACTGGAGCCGCGTTGATACTTCGTCGAGCTCTTGCTGCTTTGACACGCTTCGAGACCTTATTAGCACCATCGCTATTGAAACCGTATCGGTTTATGATTCCCTGTAAAGAATCCACAATAACTAACAAGAAACAGTAAAACTCTGTTAGCAGTGGAAGTCCAAAGAATTCAAACCTCGTCTTCAAGCAATCGGAACATTCGTGGTTTTGCATTCCCTTCTTGAGGTATGGGTGTTACTGAACCCACTTCGACAAGACCGAAACCCGACACCTCCGATAAAGGTCCGACAGCATCAGCATTTTTATCGAAACCAGCGGCCAGTCCTATTGGGGTTCTTTAGCTGCATTCCAAGGAACTAAAAATGATGAAACAATGAGAAAATAAGTGTAAGTAAGCTCTCACAGATAAAAATGGAAGCATGCTTGGGGGTGGCGTCGCTACTTTGGCCACCCAATGGGACTAAAGCCGCCAAAGTCGCAATCTCCCCATGATAACACAAACGGTTCTAAAAGGACGAACGTGAACAATTTAAGAAAAGCGACCTATCTCTCTATAGACTCCAGAGAGCCATCCAAAAAATGGGAGCTTCAAAAACTTGGAACGTCGCAGAAAAAGTTGAGAGTACAACATTGTCACTGCAAAGGTCGCCTATAGTCGGCGACCCGGGTGATTCCCAAACCGCGCAACCACAAACGACCGCGCTCCGCACAAATCCCGGACCCGATGCAATCTCTGGTCCAACCACATCCAGAATAAATTTTTTTGATCTTTCCAGCTGTCCATTATTGGTGAAGCGCGGTCGGCCATAGTCGCGCGTTGTCAATATCGCATGTGTTGCGAAGTATGAATGCTGCCAAACACTTCCGTGACCCCCCCCCCCAACATCTATCCCACAACTTGGAGAAGCTTAACTCTTACATGGGCTCTACCTCGTAGCGTAAGAACTCAAAACGATATACACTACCCGTCAGGTTATGTTACGTTCAAACCCCATACCAACTCTCCTGGCCAGAACACCCAAAAGCATATGCTCCTGGCGGGGCGGCGCCCTTCTGGGGCGACAGGAACACAAGTGAAATTGTTGGAAGGAGAAAACCTCTTTTCTCTCGCATTCTCTTTTCACGCTTCCTTTTCAAGGCAGAGAAATGGGCACCATTCAACTATTACTACCCCAAAAAGTCAAAAAAAATTTTGGTGAAACTTTGCCCACAGAGGTAATTCGGTGTCCTGATCACGAATATAGCACTCGTTTTCGGCGCTGGCGCCAAATTGGCGCCAGTTTGGCGCCGCCACCTTTCTCACCAAATTCGGTGTAAATTTGCATAGTAGGGTTATTTGATGTCCTGATCACGAATACCGAATTAGTTTTCACCCCACGCAATTTGGCGCCATTAGGCGCTGATTTGGCGCCACACCTTTTTTTAACAGAATAACAACCTGCATAATGGGGTTGTTTGATGCCCTGATCACGAATATGACATTATTTTTCGACGCCAGCGCCATTTAGCGCTTTTCTAAGGCTGAGCCTGGGAGAAAGAGTGATTTCCTTCAGGTCAGGCTCAGCCTTAGCAGAGCGCAGATGATCGCAGCGTCTTCCATCAGCGCCAGCGCCAAAAATGAATGTGATATTTGTAATCAAGATGTCAAATAACCTCCGTATACAAGTTTTCAGCGGATTTAGTGACCTAGGGTATTTTGGCGCCGGCGCCTGTGGCGCGGGCGCCAGGCACTTTCAGGCCAAGTGGATGTGATATTCGTGTTCAGGAGGTCGAATTACCCCTAGAACCCAACTTTCAGCCAAATCTGCCCCCATAAAGAAAGTCGATCACCATCCGGCCTGCTTGGAAAATTCGGGTAGTACTAGTTGATTAGTGCCGAGAAATGTTAATGGAATCTCAGAAAAACTGTGCATTTTTTACAATACAAGCACTTGAAGGGAAGACTACTTTTCGGTAGAATGTGTAAAAGTACAGTAACACATGTCTTAAATTTGCATGAGAATGTCGAACCTCACATGCTAGCTCGTCATATTCTCGTCGATTAGGGCCAAAGCGCGGAATCAGGCCCCAGGAAGCTGCACGAACGGCTAGATTGTGGGCTGTTTCTCCATCAACGTATTTGTGAACAAGTGGCATTACCTACAAGTTGATGTTACTCACCACAAAAACAAAAATGGTCAAAGTTGAAAGAAAAGACATACCGCTTTTTCGTAGAAAGGTTCCGAGCCCCACAGTAACTCAGTGGCAGCATACCCAAGCAATCCACCGCCAACAACAATAATCGTTGATTTCGTGATGTCACCTGTCCGTAGCCGAGAATACATTACAAAATATGCCTGGAATTAATTTCAGAACAGTTTACGCTACATTCAAAGGAAGGAGTAAAGACGAAACGATCTACACTTGGAACACAAGGCGACTGCGAGCAGTTTATTACTGAACATGCACACGTTAATTTCTTTGTAGAAGGAAACCTCAATGGTAGATTGTTGGTTTCTTGGTTCAGTCACTAATAATCTATGGTCACATGGTTATCAAGGGGGGGGGGGAGGGAAGGAACCTCACGATTAAAAAGCACTTGCGTTTCCCGACGGCAGGTTGTGAATGTGGCAGACAAGTTATAGCCTTTTTCGCTGCGGATGAAGGGGCGTGTCAGCGATGCTAGGTTTGGTGCGCCGCCATTTCCTTCTCCATCAGTTGTTGAAGCGAACGGTGGAAAAGGACCGATACAAATGATACGATACAGTCTTGTCACTAGCCAAAAAAAAGAAAATGCGGGCTGGCGCCGCCAGGAACGCATCACCTTTGACACGCGAATGAGGGTATATGAAGGAATGATCCCAAATCTAGACTTGCCGCTTAATCGAACGTGAGGTCAAGTCTAAGGCATCCGGTCTAGTAACCACGAGTAATATTCACATCTCATAGTTGGATATGTGGGTCACAGGAATTAGTCGACAAAACGAAAATCATGCGCGGTAGGTCCTAGGCATTCCAAGGTAACAAAACCATTGATGAGCGTTCACCTTTGTACTTCAAACTCCCTGTTCAAACAGTGGACCAAGTAACTCAATGGCAGGGACCGCGAATGCCACTGTTGGACATGGGGTAAAACCGGATATCACGGAGTAGAATAACTTATTAGTGGAGAAGAGAGCGAAAAAAAAACGCCGAAAAGTCACCATTTAAGACCCCCCTGCTGATTCTAAGCATTTATAGAGAAGACTCTATAACCATTTCCAGCACGTGATACTGTGAAAATGAACTGTCTTGTTTACTTTGCTTGTTTATTATCATCGCGGCAGTATAAAAGACTGCCGCGGTAAGGTTGACTTCACTTCCCCTTTTGTTGTTGGTCTACCGCAAGCAGTAGCAATAAACGTTCCGAAGACCCGCGTGGCAGGATACAACTACACTACACCGGCTGCAGTATTCAGTGACACTACAATCACTACAGCATTATGTACAGATGGTAAGGATACACTGGGAGCCTAGAAGAGAGAAACAGATAATCTTATGACGCGAGTGTACACAAATGATCGAGACTCTGCAGCAATATAGCGACGGCAAGAGGAAATAAGAGGGATGGGGAATCATTTAGGGGGCGGAGACCGCTCGTCACAGCAGAGCCGTGGCGTTCTTATCAAGCACTTTCGAGCATGGATGGTGATACATCCCCATAACTGCGGACCGCTCACCCTATCAAAGTAAAATAGAAGAAAAAAAAGAAAATATTGGAAAGGGAAAACCCTCCAAAGTACAGATGGTCCGAGAAGAGCATTCAAAGCCGGAGCGAATCGGGAGGGTCGGGAGGAATTAGGGCTGCTGTTTGAGCTTAACTGTCATCTCTAGAGTTACGATTAGCCTATAGGAAAACTTACACTTCGACTATTCAAGCTTTACCATTTCACGGGACCTTTTCGGAAAGCTTGACAATGAGCTTCGAACTTCTAAAATCCATTCCGGAAAATTAATCTACCAAATGTCCCCCAGAACAAAGCACAACTACAGCAGCTCCGTGCACGTAAACGTAACCACTCTAAAAAACACACGACTCTGGCCTACCTGCGGTTACACATTCCACTGAACTAATGTCCATTTGAACAATGTTTCCAAGACTATTGCGCCGTTAAATAGAGGGTTGATTGTGCAATTCACAGGAGCTCTACTATTTGTCGGCGAGGCGGCCCCACTACCGTCTCCTCTCGTTGAGGTGACGCATTTTTGATATCGGCCTCTGGATCAGTTGAGTTTGGTACTTCACGTCTTTTCCCCTTTTTTCTTACTCCGCTCGGTTCTCCGGAAGTCGCTGGTTCATTCCACTTGATTAGAATGGAATTGTTCCAGTACCTCTGTGATTTCCACTATCACTGGAATCCCCTCATTTCGATGATTGGTTTCATTTTCTTTCATGTCCTGTGAACCTCACAGCTTTGCTCTTAGCTGTTATTACAGTCTTTCATATGTAGTGTGTTAAAAATAGCACACAACGCTAGATGACGTAAACCCACCCTGATCGATGTCTCTGGGTGTTTTGGTCTCGTGCAGCTATTCGCATGCGGAGACTTGCTTTTATTCGGAAAACCGCGAGTCTTGTTTCCTTTACTTTTCTGTTC